AGGTCTGCTCTCCATTTCAAAAGTTTTTAATTCTAAAAATGATATACAAAGAGAACCAAACAATATGGAACCTTTTGGCATCAACATGGTCCATCTGGAGAGCTCTGCAGGCTGTTGAAGCTCTCAGTGACCTGGTCCTGTTTTGCTGAGTAGTGTTCCATGATCGTCATGTACCTTATTTTGTTTAACCATTTATCCACAGGGTTGTTTCTAGCTTGTTTCTTGGCTATTATAAAACTTTGAATTTACAGGTATTTTTGTCAATACAGAGTTTCATTTCTCTGGAATAACTGCCCAGGAGTTCAACTGACAGTCATATAGTAGTTTCTTAATTTTTAAAGAAACTGCCAAATTACTTTCCAGAGTTGCTGTACCACCTTACATTCCCCCGCAAGTCATGGATAAGAGGTTCTCCACATCCTCACCAGTAATTAGTATTTGTCATTAATTGTTTTACTACAGCCATTGTAGGTATCTTATGGTTTTAATTTGTATCTCCCTAATGGCTAGAGATGTTGAACATCTTGCCGTGTACTTATTTGCCAACTGCTTATAGTCTTCAGTGAAATTTCTGTTCATGTCTTTTCCTATGTTCTACTGGACAGCTTGCTTTTTCTCTATTGTGTATTGTGTAACATCTCCAGATAAGAGATGTTAGCAGATACGAGGCTTGCAGATATTGCCCAGTCTACAGTTTGTCTTTTCATCCTTAACAGGGTTTTCTGCATGGTGAAAATTTCAAATTTTATATGTCCTGTTATCAATTTCCCCTGCTTATCACATGAAGTCTAAGAACTCTACCAAAGCCCTGTGACATGAAGATTTTTCTTTTTTTTCCTACAAGTGTCACTGTTTTACATTTGCCTTAAGTTCATGATCCATGTTGAGCTAATTTTTGCACCAGGTGAGACATTTAAGGTAAAGTTCTTTTTTTCTCCCTCCCTGGGTGCCCCAATAAGAATGCTGTCCTTTCTCCATTGAATTGTTTTTGTACCTTTGTCAAAAATCAGTTGGGCAATTTGTGTGGGTCTGTTTGTGTGCCACTGATGTCTCGCCAATATTTCACAGTCCTCTTCTGTAACTATAAAACACATCTTGAAATCAGGAAGACAAATTCATTCCTCTCATTTTGTTCTTTTTCAAATTTGTTTCAGCTCTTCTGCTTTTGTCTTTCCATATAAATTTTATTGTCTTGCTCTATCAACAAAAAAACTCTGCTGGAATTTTGACAAGAAATGTATCAGACCTGTTAATTCAATTTTGGGAGAACTGACATTAGCCTGGTTGTTTTCAATATGGATGAACATATTTGTTTCTCTTTTCAGATCTTCTATTTCTTTCATCAGTAGTTTTCTGCACACAAATTTTGTCAGATTTATACCTGCACTTTTTTTTAAAGTAATTGCAAATAATAATGTTTTAAATTCTGATGCCTATAAAATTATGGTTCAGATATATATCCCATATTTCTGAGTGTTTATCATGAATGGGCATTAAATTTTGTCAAATATTTTTTTACATCAATTGATCAATATGGTATTTCTTCCTTAGCAACTTAATATATGATGCATTACCTTACAGCATTTTTTTTTAAAGATTTATTTATTTATTCGTACAGAACTGGGGTACAGGCCAGAGATGCGGAGCGTGAGAGGATTCACCAGAGACAGAGTGGGGAGCAGAACAGGCAGATCGACGAAGTACACTGCTGAGGGGAGCAGCGGGCGGGTCAGGAGAGGTCTGCCTCGCCATGTGGTCACCTCCGGGGCAGGCGGGAATCGAACTCATGCAGCGGTGGCTTTAGTTTCTTAGTGCTGTGCTTTAACCCGCTGCACCACCAGGGAGGGCCCCTTACAGCATTTTTTTAACACTGAGCCAATTCCACATTCCTGGAATATAGCCAGTTGGTCATAAATGTATAATTCTTTGTATATATTGATAAATAACATTAGCTAATACTTTTATTATGGATTTCTGTATCTCCATTCATGTTTCTGATTTTGTACTGTCTTTTTCTTCTTTTGGTATCAGAATAATACTACCTTCATAAACTGAGTCTGAAAGTGTTCCTCCCTGCTATTTGGAAGAGATTGTACAGAACTGATGTTAATTCTTTAAACAACTGACAGAGTTCTCCAGAAATCATATGGAACCTGACAATTTTTTATAGGAATTTTCAAACTAGATACTGAATTTCTTTAATAGTTACAAGGCTATTCAAATTTTCTATTTCATATTGGGGAACCTGTGGTAGTGTGTGGTCTTCTACAAATTGTTCCATTTGTGAGACTGTTGTTTGAGAGTATAGCAAACTAGTTGTATCCTCTTAATAAACATTGACTCTTCAGGTTCTCTTAGCACTTGAAGAATGACATTCAATTTCCTTCTCGTTCTCTGGTGCCTGCTGGGAAATCTGCTGTCCTTCTGTTTGCCCCACAGGTATTTCTCATTGCTTTCAAGGCTTTTTTCAGAATCACAAATCAGAATTATGTGAATTAGAATTCATAAGACTCATGAGTCAGAATGGTATCACAATGCCAGGTCTTGCTTTGAATTGCTTTGGGCTTATGATATCTGTGGTAAGCTTCTTGAATCTCTAATTTTGTCTTTTGTCAAATCATAAAGTTTCAGCCACGATCTTTTTTAACTGTTTTTTTAGCCCCTCCCTCCAGGATTCCAATGACAGATGTCAGAAAGTGCTAGCACATGGTGGAAGGGGAGCATACACTGCCACTCCAGGTGGATGTGGAAGGCGCCATTCTCCAATGGCCCCTGCAGCCACCTCAGTGGGGAGCTTTCTTTTTTCTGCAGGGCATGGTGGGCATTCTAGGTCTGCATGGTCTTCACTGACAACCAGTTCCTCCCAGGGCTCATCAGGAATGAATGTCCCTTCCCCTACTAGGGGTGCTCATGGGCTCTCTCACTCAGCCTTTGCTGAGAGCGTAGTGGTAGAAGTTTTTCCATCAAGTTTGGCTGGAACTAAGGAGTTATTGTTGAACATTTCATCCTGGTAGATCATCCCTTCCCCAGTCCTTCAGCCAGAGAGAGCAGGCTTTTGTGTCTGTACCTATTAGCATCTCTGTCTTGCTAGCTTCAGCTCCAACTCTGGGGGATATGATGCAAAAGGAAACAACCACTAGGTTGTTCTGTGGGTCTCAGCGTTCCTGGTTTTTCTACTGTCTCTGAGTCTTCTTAATGACTGTTGCATCTATAATGTCCAGAATTTTTAGTTGTATTTAATTGGGGGGGGGGGATATATTTACTCATCTTTCAAGAAGGAGAAATCCCCAACCTTTGCCTTTTCATGGTTTTATATGGATCTACAACTCCATTTATTTTGTTTCCTACATACTATCCTAATTCTCCAGCATCCTCTACTCAAACATATAAAACTATGTTTCCCTTTCCCAGAGCTTCTCAGGTCTATTTCTTAGATTCTCAACACTCTGGGACATTCTCTCCCCTCCTTACTATTCCAGACTCAACTCTGAATTCACATTTTCTGCCCTTGCCTCTGTGCTAAGTTGCAGCACACCATCCAGAAACTTCCTCAGAGCAGGGTCTGCAACTCACATTTCAGAAACCTGCATTTCTGGTGATATGAAGGGATCCTTTCAATCTGAGAGCTATGTCCACTGGTTAATTCTACAAAATGTTCTTGTATTACCTTCTCAATAACTTCCTTCTCATTCCTTTTAACAGTCTGTCTTGTCATGAATCTGCTAGATGGATCCTATAATTTGTTTTTTTCTCATTCTTATCTTTTGTTTACTCATTGTCTTTGGTTATTATTTCTGTGTGATTTTCTTGACTTTATCTTTCAAGACCTCTAATAATTTTTTTCAAGATATATATAACTGACATCCTTTTAATTCCAGAAGCTTCTATACTCATCTTTTGAAAATTTCAAGTTGATACTGTTATTTAACAATATCTCCTCTCAATCTTTCTGAACAGTTAGGCTCCCTCCCTCCTTTTCTACTGCATTGCTAATTCATTCACATTTACTTCTGTGTTTGTCTTAGGCTCTACGCTCAGGTTAAATGTCTTCCTCAAGTGTGTTCTTCTCTCCTCAGCTGCCTGCAATTGAAGCTGTGTGCACAGGCTGAGTCACTGACCACTGGCTGGCACAGGCTGGTCACTATCCCAGCAGCGCTTCTGCAGGTTACTCAGTTTCCCTTCCAAGGATGCTTTGGGGAACAGCCTAGTTGCAGACATTCTGAAAGCATGGCAGAGAAAGGGACTGCAGAGTAATTGCTGTATGCACAAGATTTGCCTTCACTCTCCTTTCTGCCAGCTGCCCCCACATTCAAAGTCTCCCTAGTTCCATGTTTCCATGGGGAAGACCTCCCACCTTGGGATTGGGGGAGTCAATCATCTGACTGCTGGAAGAGAGCAGAAACTCATTCCAGGGCAACACACAGCCCAGTGCCCAGCCCCAACCACTGGGGTCCAGCCAGATGGCTCCACATCCTCTGAGGAGACTCGGGTCCATCAGCATCACTACTGCAGCTGCCCTATCGTCACCAGTTCCTTTTCTAAGTTTATGGACCTTGCTCACCACTGTTGTGTCATTTCTCATTCTCTCTGACATTTTCATGCATTCATCTTCACTGTAGTGTTTTGGGGGTGACATCATGTTGATCCACAAGTGTTCTGGGCACAGACTTTGACAAGATTCAGGACACTTGAGTCCTGGGTTGTGACAATGACACACCAAACAGCACTGAGTCTCGATCAAGGAACCAAAAATACATGGCCCATTCAAGAGATAGGAAGTGGCATACTAGTGTAGAAAGGACCAAAAATGGAGTCAGAAAACAGAAACCTGGGGTGTATGTACCTACTTATCAGACATATCACTACAGACATGACAATGGTGGCAGCTTCGAGTATGGCATCCACGGAGACGTGTCTCACAAACCGCAGCAGTTGCTGGATCCTCCAGAGGGGCCTTTGCTGTGTTGGGCAGGCTCATCCTGCGGCCCATGGAGACTTACCTTCACCTCCTTCTCGATGTAGTCACTCAGCAGTCTGTCGGGCTCGACGCGCTCAGGCAGGGACAACACCACAGTGTGCAGGGGGCGCCTCTCTGTCACCTTCTCATGGGCTTTCTTATCTCTACTCTTTTCACCTTTTAGGAATACTCGTTTAAATGGCGACACAATTCCAGGCTGCAGGCAGAAATGGCAATGATTTGAGTTCATTATTTACAATGTTTTGTGCTTGCTGTACCTATGGCTAACAAGCAGGAGTAGCCAGACCACTACCACAGTCCCCATGCAAAGAGATGCTGGTCACCACCAATCTGGTGAGACAAGTACCAGGAACACCAAGGCCAGACATCACTTATTATGGCCAGCTCTCAGTCAGTCAGGGTGAGGCTGCACCCAGTGCTACTTTGGGCACCAAACAGCTGGTCCTTCTCCTGTTCAGACACTTAGAAGATCAAATGTTGACTCTCAAGGTCAGTAATCTCAATGACTGAAAAGAGGGCAGAAAGGAGGAGGTTCCACCCAGAAGACACAAACACTGCATTGCTCCTACAGTTCTGGGGTCTGCCGTGTCATTTCACACAAGGGTTTGAGGAGGTAGAAGGTGTGCCCAGGCTTTGGTATTAACAAGGGACACAGCTCAATAGTCACAGCCCATCTCATACCTCTTTCTTCATCTGTCGTAACCCACCTCCTAATGCAGCATTTCCTCCCCTCTGGAGTGGCTGATCAGCACCTGGGCAGCTGCACAGCCTCTCCAGTGTCTGTCCTATAATCAAATTCAATCTACAGAGCAAGAGCAGGGGCTGGGTGGGGAGGATCAAAGAGTCCTCCTGAGAACCCACTGGAAGGCCTGGCACTCCCTCTAGTAACTGGAACAAAGTCCTCCAAGTCATCCACTGCACAGATGACCGGAGAGTTGCCACAGTCACTAGGCACTCACTTGCCCACACACCAAAGGAACAGAAAACAAGACATCAATGTGTAGGCTTAGCAGAGAAATGCCAAACACAGAACTCAAACTCCAGCTGGAGACCCACACCAGGCTGAGAAGTCAATTTCTGTCATTTCCTCCATAATTCTGCCTATTATGTGAATGATCCAACACCAACAAGAGCTGGGACCATTGCAGACCTGGCTCAAACCAGCATTCACAGAATCAACAAAATATACCTGTTCCAACATTTATTATAGGCTCTCTTTCTGTTTCTCCTCTGCATGTGAGAAATTCAGTCACACACCAGATTCCACACAATACAGTAGTACCACAAAACTATAAATCCTCTGAGGTGCCTGGTCAGCTAGTCAACCTCACACATCAAGAGTGGAAAGGTACATAACTGCAACCCACAAAGGCCATGAGGCCTCACTGTGTCCCCACACACCCAGATCTGCAGCATCAGGAGGGAAATCAACTGGCAAACAAAGATCACACACCCAAAAAGTGAACACTGACAAGTGAACTCCCACATTCCTCTCAGCCAGAGGCTATATTTCCTTCACCGAGTCTTGGTTTACCTCCTTCTTCCACATGACCCTGGGATAACTGGCTTTTATTCCAAAGACCCACTAAAACTAGTCCTAGATCAGGAGACTCAACAAAAATAAAATCACACAATGAAACATCTTAGCTGTCAAAGCTATGCTCTAGCTAGTGCTGCCACCATAGCTATTGCTCACACTTCCTGGGAACCAGTGGCAAGCAGATCGTGCCTGGACCTCAGGTCTGCTCAGGCCTTCCGCAGGCCCTTTTCTGGCATGGTGTAGACTGTACCATTTCCAAAGAAAACTGGTGAGCTGAGCTGTCAAACAGGTCTCCAAAACTATCTACATAAAGCTCTGTCACATACCTGATGTATGGTGAACAAGCAAACCAAGGTCAATCATTATTGTTACAATTTTTTTTTACAAATTGTAAAAACACCAAATTGTAAAAACTTCTTCACCAGTTGTCACTATATAGAGGACTGCAAAGTTTCAGCCCCTTCCCTCCATCTGCATACACCTAATATGCAGGACAGGCACACCCACAATAAGCAAGTCTTCCTGCCCCAGCACTAAGACAGCCTGTCATGAGGTTAAAGCCCAGAGATCCCCTAACTCCTCCCCTAACCTGGGCCTAGAGGATCTGCCTTAATATCCCATCTTCATCCTGGAGATGCACCCTTTGACCTGAGTGCTCTCCTCTTTGCCCTAGAGTATTCTCTCCTGGTCTCAAATAACCCCCTCCTTGCCCTGGAAGAACAATCCTCACTCTGGAATACCCCTTCCTTGTCCGAGAGCACCCTTCTCCTTTACTCAGAGTACCCTTTCCTTATCCTGAAGAAGCCCTCTCCTTGACCTAAGGCACTCGCCCTTTATCTCAAGTACCTCTCCTTGCCTAGAGTGCTCCCTTGCCTCCCTGGAGGGTCCTCTCCTTGACCTGAAACACCAGCTTCCTTTCCATGCCCACCCCTCATCACATCTTATCAGGGATGGAGAAACAATAATCGAAGAAGGACAGTCCACTAATTATCAAGCTGGATGATGTGTAAGTACAACTTCATTTACTTGTCTCCACTTTGCTTATACTTGAAACATTCTATAACACTAAGTTTTTTAAAAGAATGGCTATACCTTCTGCCTATGATTGCTTACATTTAGCTGAAACAAGCATGCCTGCATAAAGTTGAAACAATCATATGAAGAAATGCATTTGAACAAAACTACCACTCCACATCCTGTTAGTACAGACCAGGGTGGCAGCCAGCCAGGAGGACAGCAAACATGTCACACAGATGCATACCCACTCCCAACCGTAGGGAGCTAGAAAGTACACAGCTGGGAGCTGGGGGTAGCACACACAGTCGGGGAGAGAGGGGTTGGAGCTATTCCAGAAACAAATGAATAAGAGGGTACCAAGATTTTGGAACTGATTTTCATGTTCAGTTTCTTGAAAATGAAAATGTAAAGGGAAGGTCTGGTTGAAAAAATATACCAGGAAATAAATTTTGGCACACTGGACTGGGGTTCCACTAAACCACCATGAATCCTTTAACTCACTAAAAAAATCCTCCATATCCATAGTTTTAAAAGGTTTAGCTCATGCAATCACTCATTCTTCATTCAACAAGTATTTTTATTGAGCACTCATGTTCATCATCACCAAACTCATCTTATAATCTTTGACCCCTAAAGATAAAAGCACTGATTTAACCTCCAAAAGGGGCATAACGTTAAGTGCACTTTCTCTTTATGAATGGCATTCTAGTGTGAGGTGCAACCTGGATTCCATGTGTGACAAATCTTTTGGGAAGCAACTGTGGCCCTGCGGTTAGCAATACGGGAACCTGCCAGGAGTCTCATGCACAGAATCAGGAAGAAAATGCAGGGCTTCTGAGTCACCACTGGCATGGAGCAGATTTCTCACATGGAACAGAGTCACTTGCCAAAGCTGAAGATATTTCTAGAGATGCTCAGAAACAATACAGATCCTTACAACAGTCTCACAATATTTTCCATCTTAGATGTAAAATACCTTTTGAAGAAGCTGAAATGTAAAATGCAACCCTTGGTTAAACAAACACTAAATCTGGATCACTGAGCATCTGCTTAGTGAAGCAGCCCTCCTCCTGGTCCAGCCAGGCTGCCCTGGTGCCAGGATGGCCTCAAGCTTATTAGACTGAAGCTCAATTTAGCAGCTCACTTGTGGTGACTAAACTCTGAATGACCTAACTCCTAGCAAATTATCAGAAGTTAATTTCCTCATCAGAGCAGCTGTTTATTAAAATTTATAATGATAGGGCCCTCCCTTGTGGCGCAGCGGGTTAAAGCACTGCACTGAGAAGCTAACGCCACTTCCACATGAGTTCGATTCCCGCCTGCCCTGGAGGTGACCACATGGCGTGGCAGACCTCTCCTGACCCGCCCGCTGCTCCCCTCAGCAGTGTACTTTGTTGATCTGCCTGTTCTGCTCCCCGCTCTGTCTCTGGTGAAGCCTCTCACCGCCCCTGAGCCTCTGGCCTGTACCCCAGTTCTGTATGTACAAAAAAAAAATTTAAAAAAAAAAAAAAAATTTATAATGATAAACGCACTTCATTTGTGAGTTACCGGCCTCTACCTGGGGATCAAATGTTAATAAGGCAATACATACCAATAGGCCCTTTGCCCACAACATACTACAAAATATTCTGGAGAACGAACTGAGCCATCTAAGAAATCAGGAAACATGCACTAAGGAATAGAAATGAAGCTGAAGTGGGACTGAAGAAGTGTTCAAGCATTCACTCATGTGTTTTACTAAATCTTATAGTACATTGCAAGGCAGGTTTGACCTAATTCATAACACAAAATTGCCCCTGAATAAAAATTTTCTAAATGCGAGACTCTAGTGTCCTCAAATTCAGCATTCAGTAAACACTTGCTACACGGTGAGCATGCACCCAGTCCTGGGACTGTGTCTCAAGGTACCCTGCCACGCCCAGTCCCCAATCTTGGGAGGAGGGGGAAGGAGGAACAGTAAGGCAGGGGACCAGGCCTTAAGAATGCAGAGGACAACTGGAGGAGGAGCCAGAGCTGGACAGACTGCTCAGAGACCGACCTCATGAGAGCTGAAGCTAGAACTCTGTTAGCTGGCACAAGTCAGCCGCTTCTGCCCTACAGATTCACACCTGACCCCGGTGCACAAAGTCCTGTACAAATCCTCATCTATAAATTCCAGAAAGATGCCTGCTTGTTTATACCTGAATTGTACTTAATTTGAACTAACCTTCACCTCTTACCATTAACACAAGATGCACAAGAGCTTGAGCAGGAGCACACACCACCATGTTCTATGACCTTCTTTAACCATAAGTTCCACTTCAGAGGAGACCTAGTCTGTTCCAGTGAAAAACACACAGGTGCCTGCCTCCCTGCAGGGGTGGCCTGAGAGGCGGCCTGAGGGGCGCTGCTGCTGGGCCCTGGCATGCAGAGCCTCCTGTAAATGAAATTCCAGGTACAAGCCTGCTAGGTGTGGGTGTTCCCTTGTTAAGCTTTCCCCTAAACCATTTCCCAACACAGACCTTGGGTCCCCCTAAGTGACCACCACTGCACATGAAGATTATTCTTACCTAGCTGACAGGTGGCCTGACTCCTTGAGTAAAAGGCAGATGAAGCCAGCCTACAAATGGTCCCTCATATTGCTCAGCATCCTCCAGGAA